ACCCCATGGCTGTGAAGGTAGAAGGAAACCCAGCCTGGATCCACCACAGCCATGTGAAACCGGCAGCAGCTGAAACCTGGGAAGCTATACCAAACCCAGACAATGACTGCAGAATCACATTAAAAAGGACAAGCCCTGCTCCAGCCACATCCTGGAAGCTGGCTGGTCCATGCATGGCAGAAGCATGAGGAAATTCATCATGGGACTTGTTCTTTTTAATATTTGGACTTGTACAGTAGGGACATTAACTGATTTTGAAGAATGCTCTCAGTGTGTACACCAGGTTACTAAGGTAGGACGTAATGTTACTGCTGTTCTTTTGTTCTACAGTTATTATGAGTGCACAGGGACACAAAAGCAAGCCTGTTTATATAATGGTACTCAGTATAAGGTGTGTAATCCAGAGGATGGACAGTCCAATGTATGCTACTACCCATCAGAACCCCCTACACATGTGACTTTTGAAATTAGACTCCTGACAAGGCGATGGAATAGCCCTACTAAATTAATAGCCAAAACAGAGGAGAAGGGAAGCCCAAAGCAGGTCACCCTAATGTTTGATGCCTGTGCAGCCATCAATGCCTATCCTTCCAGTGGGGGTGGGGGAGGGGCTGTGGTTCCCTCAAATGGGAGCAAATTTATGCAAAAGAGCATAAATACCTCTGCCAGAAAACCTACTGGTGCTATGACTGCCCCTATGTGTCACCTGGGCCACTTGGAAAAATGACAAAAATGATCCTGTTTGCCTTGAAAAGGGAGGGACACCATTCCATGGGGTAATGTCCCCTGCATCTCAGGACATTGTAACCTGGTGGAATTAATAATCACGGACACCCAAGACCCCAAATGGGAAAAAGGAGAGAGTGTAGTGCTAGGAATTGATGGAAAAGGATGTGACCCTGAAGTTAGTGTCCAGATTTAGGGAAAAATCCAGAAATGCTCAGCCTGGCCAGTGTACGAGCACTTTTATGATATATTAAATGAGCCAATACTGGAGCTTCCGAAAAAGACAAAGAACTTGTTCCTCCAACTTGCTGAAAATGTGGCCTATTCCCTCAATGTCACTTCTTGCTATGTATGTGGAGGGATAACTATGGGTGACAGATGGAGATGGGAAGCCTGTGAGTTATTATTATTACCTGTCCCTGACCTGACCTCAGTTCAAAAGGTTCAAACCAACAGTTTCTGGGTTTTAAAGGTTTCAATTATTGGACAATACTGTTTGGCCAGAGAAGGAGCAGACTTCACTATTCCAGTAGGGAAGCTTAGCTGCTTAGGGCAGCAATTGTATAAGGAACCATGGGCACTGTAACCTGGTGGAGCTCAAACTATACAAAGAACCCCCTCCTAAACTTTCCAAAATTACAGGATGCTTGGGATCATCCTGGGTACCGGAGAGATTGGACAGCCCCACCTGGGTTGTACTGAATATGCGGACATAGGGCATACATACAGCTGCCGGGAAGATGGACAGGCAGCTGCATCATAGGCATCATTAAGCCTTCTTTTTGCCTATTATCTGTTAAGGCAGGTGAGCTGTTACAGTATCCACTCTACTCTGCTAGGGAGAAAAGAAACCTAAAGATGGGAGAATGGACAGATGATAAGTGGTCACTGGAGGGAATTATTGAGTATCATGGGCCAGCCACATGGGCGGAGGGTGGCTCATGGGGATACTGGACTCCTATTTACACGCTCAACCAGATCATCCGGTTGCTGGCTGTTTTGGAAATACTAAGGAAACGGGAAAGTTCTGTCCCTTTTGGCCCAACAAGAAACTCAAATGAGGAATGTGATTTATCAGAACCAGCTGGTCCTAGATTATTTGCTGGTAGCTGAAGGAAGAGCCTGTGGAAAATTCAATCTAACCAACTGCTGCCCTACACCAGGGTCAAGCAGTGGAGGATATTGTTTGAGATATAACCAAACTGGCACACGTGCCTGTGCAGGTATGGCACGGATTTAACCCTGAGTCCTTATTCGGAGGTTGGTTCTCATCCTTAGGAGGATTCAAGACTCTCATCATAAGAGTTCCAATAATGATAGGCATTTGTTTGTTACTTCCTTGTTTATTCCCCCTCTTCCTTCAGATGATTAGGGGATTTATCACTACTGTAGTTAGCCAAAAAAATGACATCACAAGTATATTATATGAATCATTTTCAATCAGTTTCTTCAGAAGATCTGGAAAATGAGAATGAAAGTGAGACCTCTCACTAATATTATAGAGTGGTGAGGGTCTCAAGTGGAGGGGTGAGGAAGGAGATCCAGTCATCTGGGATCATCTCCCCCTTGATTTCCACACTGCATTTCAATAGAAGAAAAGGCTGGCTGACTGGCACCTCCTGAATCACCTTCCTATAAATAGCACACTTGGTATTGGGGAAACTTTCCAGAAGACACTGTTTTTACTTAAAAAAGATCAAACCCCCACCCCACTCCTCCCTCTGGAGACCAGAACCTTTTCACATGTGATTCCTAAAACTGTAAACCCAAAACGCTATCATGTATGATTTCTAAAACTGTAAATCCAGAAACCTTTTCACATGTGATTCCTAAAACTGTAAACCCAAAAGCCCTTTCACTCATAATTTCTAAGGTTGTAAACCTAAGATTCTTTCACATGAAATATCTAGAGTGTAAGCCTATATAAAGTCAGAGCCTCTCTTTGTTAGATGAGCTGGGTTAGCTAGACCAATAATTACCCAGCTCCCGGCCGTAATAATAATAATAATAATAATAAGCTTCTTCCTTCACAGTTCAGTGTTTGAGAGGTCTGTTTCTTGCAGCTGCTCCTGCTACACACAGAGGGTACCCATTGATTGGTTTGGCCCAAAAAGGCAAGATAACTTGAAGCAGGGGCTTACAGGTCACAGTTGGATTCAGAGGTTCTTTGATTTGTAGTTGATTCAGGAGGCAATGCCTTGTCTAAAAATTTGGGGTTAGCAGAAAAGAGTACTAGATTTAGTTCATGGGAGTGGCTTCCAGGTCCCTGCAAAAGAAATTTAGAAGGTAGGAAGGTGGTCAGAGTGCAGCCCTCAGTTCCCCCTATTCTGATGTCTGCAGGCCAGTAAATCCATTTGGTGCAAGTACAGATGGGGGTCCAGGTTTCTGAGTGACAAACTCAAGGATATGTGTTGAGATGTTAAGACGTTTCTAAAGGGAAAGCAAAAAACATCTCTGGACTCTGATTTCCTTGGCTATTGTTGTGGGCTAGTACATTCCTGCCTAACAAGTTACTTATTTACTTCTCAGAGGAGCTGAGTATCTGGAACTTCCCTGGAAGGAACTCAAGATTTTCCTTTGTTTCCATGCTTGGTGGTGGAGTTGGGGGCAGTGGCACAGGCTCCTAAAAGGTGGTCCCTTCTTCATCTCAGGCCAGAGTTCAAATTCTTGTTCTTTCTCACCATCTGAAAACCTTGAATAGATGTCTCCATCTAAAGCTTCAATGCCCACTGGTAAAGTTGGAGTGAGATGGCCTGTTTTGTTGTGTTGCCGAGAAATCCTTGAAGTAATGCATGTGTGGACAGGAGAGGTTCCGGCTCCCTTCTGACCTCTCAGCCCTCCACCCTGGGGTGGTTCTGAAAGGCACTGCTCATGGTGAGGACGGAAGGCTGCTAGCTGGCATTGTTCTCTCTGATTCAGTGGCTGCATTCGCTTTGTGTGTGCTCAATGAGGAGAATGAGGGCTGTGATGTTGGTGTACATCGGTTCAGATACACTGGTGGGTACATGGCTGCATGTTGGATCTCCTGGCCCCTCCAGACCTCAACATCATGCAGAAACAGAAGGGGTAGAACCTGGCACAGCAGGGTCACCCAGACTGACTGCTGGCAGTGAGGAAGGTGACCCTTAATCCTCTTCAGCTTTCTGCATTGCATCTGAAAAGGAGAACCTAGAAGTCATCAGCCAGAAGGGGGACTGGTTGGCGCCGCCAGCCAGGGTAAAAATAAGACCCCTACTGATTACCACAATCTCTCCTATTGATCGAAGGCATTGTATGGAGGAATCCTTCCAGAAAGTATTGTTTTTACCTAAACAAGATCAAAGTCCCACCTAAGCCACATACCCCATGCCTACTCCATGAACGAAGACCCTTTCACATGTAATTTCTAAAGCTGTAAACCCAAGACCCTTTCATGTGTAATTTCTGGAGTTGTAAGCCTATATAAAGGCAGGGCATCTCTTTGTTACAGGAGCTGGGCTATTAGGCAGCCATGCCACCTTGTTCCCAACCAAATAAATCACTCCTTTCTTCCTAGTTCAGTGCCCGAGAGGTCTGTTTCTCATGACCGCTCCTGCTTTAAAACTGTACTGAAGGGTCAGTGGTTGAGCCATACTGGCTGTTCAACACTTTGAATACCACATCCAGAAAGAAAAAGCAAGCTCCTTGTCACCAGAGCCTTCCTGTGACTGTGTTACATTCAACACAAGGCAAGCATCAGCTTCACATAAGGGAGCGGTCTCTGGGACAACCCATTGAAAGTGTGGGAGGCAGGTGGTTTCTGGTTCTGTGCACAGTTGCTCTAAGCTGCAAACGAGGAAGGAGACCCTTAATCCTCTTAAGCTTCTAAGAGCCCTTCCCCCTAGACTTTCACATTGCATTTCAGTAGGCGAAGTAAAGGCTGGCAGACCGGGCACCACCCTTAATCCCACTCCTGTAGATCACAGGCATGGGATGGAGGAATCTTTCCAGAAGGCATTGTTTTTGCTTAAACACCATGAAACCCCAACCTAGTCACAAACCCCACACATACTTCATGGATCAAGACCCCTTCACATTAATTTCTAGACTGTAAGACTTTAAAAGGGCAAGGATTTTCTTTGTTGACGAGCTCGGCTGTTACGGTATTTTCACCTGCTGCAGCTCCCAGCAGGATAAATCACCACTTCCTTCCCTGTTCGGTGTTTGAGAGGTTTGTTTGTGGCCGCTCCTGCTTCATAAACACATGATCCTTGATCAAATACTCTTGAATCCACCTGACAGACAAGAAGCTTCCAGACCTCCAAGGGGATGCCCGAGTCTCCCTTTACTCTGGGACAAAACTTGGTTTTGGTTTCTTGGGTTTCTCATTGACGAATCCTGAACATGTTTGCTTTCACTTCATTTCTTTGTTCCAGTGTTTTCTCTGCTGTTTTCACACCTCTCTGGATAATCTTTCCAAGTTCCTTATAGAAAACAAGAAAGATTATTTACCAGCAGTCTTCCTGGTCCCCGGCTTGTCAGCCTCGGTGCATTCCAGTGAACTCCTGTGACACCTTACCCAGTAGCTGTGGCTCGCAGCATGTACAGCGTTTGTTCTCTCTGTTCTATTGATGGCTTCCTTTTCCAAGTCAGTTCTTTGCCTGGATCTCTAGGATCTCTGTCTCACTGCCACCGTTACCTGATGTAGGGGGTTCACCCTACAGCATTTCTGTTGCTGTAAAAAGACCCTCTGCTGTATCTTTTGGCATGGAGAATTTCTCTTATTGTATTTTAGAAGCAAGAGATTATGCAGAAATGGATCCATGGATGGGGGTGGAGTTTATCTTTCTGGTTTCTGTACAGTAAAAACTCTCATTATGCCTGTCCTAGACTGAGCCCCTCATTCTAGAAGCTGGTCCACTTCTGGACGTAACACCTGAGCTGAAAATGTTTCTTTTTGCCCATGCTCATTTTACTTCAGTTTCCAACAGAAGAGAATCCTGACGCATACAGAAATGAGTCCTGCCACAGGAGATTACAAAGATCAAGCTCTACAAAGTAAAATTGCTGGAGTGTAAGTGGACCTCAGAGAGGCTGGCTTTTGCCAGGCTGGGAACTGGGCATTCCTTGGACACTGAGCACTTTTCCTTCTGTCCCTTCATGCCTGCTTGTCATGGGGAGACTGGCTTTTATGGAGAAAGTCTCTTGGAAGGAATAGGAGCAGATATGGGGAATGGGGGCAGATGGGTGGAATGGGATTTGTTTTGCCTGTTTTGGGTGAGAAAGGGACCCAGAGAAAGAATGGAAAGAACAGGAGCCGGTGGAGGGCAATATGCAGGGTGGGGCTGGGGGTGCAGTTTTCACCTCCGATCTCTGTGTGATATGAAGTACGATTATGTTCTGGGTATAAAGTAGGCAGTTGGGTGAGAGATTTAAGGGAAGAGATCATGGTCTGGAAAGGCTCTAGAGCAGGATGGGAGAGGAAGTGGATGGGACACAAGCCATCAGCCTGAAGACTGGTGAGGGGAGCGGAGCCCCTGCCAATCTCGTTATGAAATCACCTTTAGCCTAAAGCCTTCTCCTTACATAGTTTAAATTCACCCTAAAGGTTTCTCTGTACATGGTGAACTGTAAGCTAACTGACATGTAAACAGACTGTCACCTATTCTCAGACCAAGTAGCTAAGTCTTGGTCAATCACAGCAGCCAGACTTCAACCACTCACAGGTGGCCAGCTGTTCAAACTGGGCTCAAACAAGCTGAACACCACACCATCACCAATCCATCTATTTCTGTACCTCACTACCACTTTCTGTATGCCACTTTCCTTTTTCTGGCCATAAAGCTTCAACTATGAGACAGTTCAGGAGTCTCTCTGAACCTATCTTTGCCTGGAGGCTGCCTGATTCCCACAAATGGTTCTTTGCTCAATCAAACTGTGATAAATTGAATTGTATAAGGTTCTTTTAATACTGGTAATGGTGGAGGGGCACAGTGGCTCATGCCTGTAATCCCAGCACTTTGGGAGGCCAAGGCAGGCAGATCACTTGAGATTAGGAGATGGAGACCAGCCTGGGTGACATGGTTAAACCCTATCTCTACAAAAGTCCAAAAATTAGTCACGTGTGATGGCGCACACCTCAAGTCCCAGCTACTTGGGAAGCTGAGCTATAAGAATCACTTGTGTCCAGGAGGCCAAGCTTGCAGTGAGCTGAGACCGCACCACTGTACTCCACCCTGGGTAATAGAGCATGAGTCTATGTTCAAAAACAACACACAAAAAACTCTAGGAATGAATGGCAACCGTGCCACAGCATCATCCCAAGGGCAGTGAGACTCCATAGACCTTGAGGTTTTCTTTGGGGCTTGTAGGGCTAACCCACAGATGGGAGAGTGAGGCTATAATAAAACTCATGGTGCCAAGCAGCTCACACAATGGGTGACATCCATCAGAGTCCATCATCCTTCAGTGGGGCAAGATAACCCCTCCTCCCACAGTGGCTGTGGCTCAAATTCTCAGAAACAGCACTTCAGCAGATGGAAGGTGTGAGCCTCAGGCACAGTAGAAAAACGTGCCTTGACAATTCTCATTTGGCTGCATAGGCTCTGTGAGAAATTCTCAACAGGAACAATATCCATTAGGAAAATTTCACCTCAAAGCTGGGCTTCCAAAGGCCCTCTTCAAGCATCCCATCAGTTTTTAGCTTGTGATGGAGAACGGCATGTTCTCCTCCATTGGGACCTAATGCATCAACTGTCAGCAGGACTGAGCTTCTGCTGGAAAAAGCTATGTCCTATTTCAAGCATGGCGCATCTCCAGAGGTTAAAAATTAGATCAATAGCCATTTGCAAGAAACTCCTGAGCATTCTTTGTTCTAAGTATAGCGAGGAAGGCCTAGTTTACAGGGTACTTTATATTCACTCTTTCCCAACTGTCAATTCCCTGAACCTTCACAACAGCCCTGAGAGGTAAGAAGGCTGGTCCCACTATTTCCCTACCTCCGACGATGACCTGACATCTGCCTGCTCTCATTCTTCATCTGTCCTTTGCTCTGCTTCTGAGACTGTGGTGGCTTCCCTCTGACAGTGTATGGGACTCTACACTTAGTAGCAAATCATTTGACTTCCTCAATCTCAGTCCTTTGTCTAAAATCAGAGCACAGGATCCTTCTAGGGCCACTCTGGCCCTGAGATGCTACAATTACAACAGTTTCTGTTTAACAGATTAATATAGTTTGGTGCAGTGAAATGTTTTAAAGGCTTATTGTAAAATTGTGACAAAAACAAAGGCTACACATAAAAAGCATAACATAAACAGATACACATAATGATTGTTCTGTAGCACCTGTGTCCCATGGAAGGCAGAAATCTATGTTCATTTGATTAAAAAACCAGCCGTTTATCAATTTAGAAAACACGAATCCTGTGCGGCATGGAAATGTGTATTTTCTGAACATAAGATAAGTCTGGGTTAAGACTAAAAAGAAGGACTTGCTGTGCCATAAGAAAATAGTCAATGACAGGCTGGGTGTGGTGGCTCATGCCTGTATTCCCAATACTTTAGGAGGCCAAAGTGGGTGGATCACCTAAGGTCAGAAGTTCGAGACCAGCCTTGCCAACATGGCAAAAATCCTTCTCTCCTAAAAATACAAAAATTAGCTCTATGTGGTGGCGCATGCCAGTAATCCAAGCTACTTGGGAGGCTAGAGAAGGAGAATCACTTGAACCTGGGAGGTGGAAGTTGCACTATGGGAGATCGCACCACTGCACGCCAGCCTGCACGCCAGGAGCAAGACTCCATCTCACAAAATAATAATAATAATAATTAAAATGCAAAAAAGAAGATAGTTAATGACAAAGACTGTTTGTCAGACAAATGCATCAAACAAAACGTATGCATATGCCAATACTTGACCCATCTTTTCTCAAAGGCCCATCTGTGATCACAAGAAGACGGAAACTACAGGGATCATCAGGAGAAAAGGTACCTCTCCAGCAGATATGATGGGATGTCGGGAGGTGTCATAAAATGTGAAGCTGAACCTACATCTGAGAAGAAATGAGCAAGTAAAGTCTCCATGCAATGAGAACAACTACCTATAGAAGTGTCCTAAAAAAGGACACTAGAGAAAATTATCTCCAAATATGCTGGGTTTACTTGGGAGTAGAAATCAGAATGATAATCTGGAATATAGGAAAGCATAAGCCACCAGTGCATTCGGAGAGGGAAGGGTAAAGGAGAGCATTTATTGGCAAAAAAGCATTTACATAAACTGCTTAGAAACAGAGTTCTTTGGTTCCAGAGGTTCAAAGCTAGACAGCTGTCAGTGCACTGGTGGAGATGCACTTATTGAACAAGTGTTCTTCTGAGAACATCTTATCTAAAGTATAGGAGTTGTAAAGAATATCTAGTGATAAGCCTTATCGAAGCCGGAGAGATTTGAAATGTTTCTAGAGGCTTATTGGAAACAGTTCCTATCTCAGACATGTAAGCATGAGCCTCCTCTGCTTTGGGCCTTCCTGGCCCTATTTTGTCTGGGTTTGATGAAAGTTGCTTTCATCCTGATTCACAGGAAGTCGTGGCTCCCCTCTGCCCTCCTTCCCAGAATCACTAGCTGTTGAACACAGGATGGTTAGAGCATCTCCAGGGAAGTGTGACCTCGTGTCTGTGGCTTGTGGAAGAGAAACCAGTGTGAAGGCAGATGGCATGTTACAGAGATGATAGAACTGAGCAGAGCATTGCTAAGGTTCCCAGAATAGAACCCTATGATCATTAGACTCTTAGGAGAGAGGGATGCAGATACTGCTGTAGCTTGGCGGTAGCAGCCATTATCAAACATGACAATGATGGAGTTTGGAACACGCCACCCGAAAATATGCCACTTTGGCATTAGGATTATTGTGAGCTAAAGATATTTAAAAACACAAAGAAGATGAAATAATGGTGTTCTGACCCTCCCCCTTTTCTTTTTGAAAACAGGAGATAAAACCCCCATATGCAAGATGTCCTCTTTACACTGAAAGGCAGCTCACATTGTCATCTCCAGGAATGGGAAGTTGAAGCCCAGCGAAATCTGTGCAAACAAACATTGTTAAGCTAACCCTTATCTTCCTAATTACTTCTGTACTCAGTTAACTACCTAGTCCAGGCCCTTTTGATTGTCCTTGTCACATTTTCCCAATTTACTACTCTTCCCCCACTTTTTAAATTTTAAAACAATTTGCTATTTATTATTTTTTAAACTTTTTTTTTTTTCTTTTTGTCTTTTTCCCAACTCCCCATCCATTTTTTTTTAAGAGACAGGGTCTTGCTCTGTTATCCAGGCTGGAGTGCAGTGGTACCATCATAGCCAGTGGCACCATCACAGTTCACTACAGCCTCAACCTCCTGGGCTCAAGCAATCATCCTACCTCAGCCTCCCAAGTAGCTGATACTAGAGGCATATGCCACAGGGCCCGCTAATTTTAAAATTTTTTAGTAGAAACTGGGTCTCACTGTAAGATTTAAAGAAGGAGGAAAGAAACACGAAAAGTGGCTGAACAGTCAAAAAAAGGTTTATTTTGGAGAATAACCCTGAAAGGTGCCCTGAGAGGCCAGTAGTAACTTCAGTGGAGGAAGAGGCTGGGCACAGAGTGCACGGAGCCTGGGCATGGTGAGAGCGCAGGCTCCTGGACAGGCATTCAGGGCAGAGGACTGGGCTGGCGGGGCAGAACACGGAGAGGAAGCTTTGCATCCTGTGGAGGACAAACCAATGTGCATGTGGTTGTTCTGGACAGGCAGGTAGCTGTATTGAGACTCAGGGACTGGTCCACACAACCCACAAAGTCTTGTCAAGAAACCTACTGAATAAAAAGTTTATTAACAAACAGCCTTGCAAAACAGCTCTTGCCACTCATTTCTGAGGCATGTAATGGTTCTACAACCCCTTCAACCTATGTGGCTTAACTTAAATCCCACTGCAGGCCTCCTGCTGGGTGTCCTCATTGTTCTCATCCTACACAGCAGTAGCACAGCCGCAGCTCCCATTTATAGAGCACTTTTGGGGTCAGGAATTGTGTGAAGCACTTTTTGGTCATTCATTTATTCACTCAATGAGTATTTGTTAGACTGAACTATGGTGCTGGCACTTCTCTGAGTCAAGAATAAAGACATGGACAAAATAGACAAGTCCCTGCCCTAAAGGAGCTGCTATTCCAGTCAGGGGCAGGCAGAGAATGGACAAGTCAACAGGGAACTGTGTCTTAGGTGAGGCCATGGTCAGTACCTTGTAGAATAATAAATCAAGGAGGGAGGGGAAGAGAGGAGTGTGAGGGTGGGTGTGGTGAGGTCATCCAGGGAAGGACCTCCTGAGAGGGTGGCATAGGAGTAGAGATTTGGAGGATCCAAGGGGGAGAGCTGTGCAGATCCTTGGGGAGAAGTCTGTCCACAAACAGAAAATAGCACGGCTTGGGGTCAGGGCCAGCAAGGAGGCCACAGCAGCTGGAATGGAGTGCTGGGAAGAAAAACCAAGATGCACAAAAGCGTGTAACATATTACAGATCGTGTTCTGAAAAGCACACACGTATACATGTGTATGTAGAGCCCATTGCTAGGGAGATGATAAGTGTTGAAGGAATCAGTAACTGCCATGAGCTCCAGAGAGGGGAACTGAGATACAGACAGGTGGAAGAGAGCCTTTTGCTTTTTTTTAATTTTTAAATTTTGTGGGCACATAGTAGGTGTATATATTTACGGGGTACACAAGATGTTTTGACACCGGCATGCAATGCGTCACAGCAACGTCAGCAGACTGTGGCATCCAGCCTCTCAAGCATGTATGCTTTGTGTTACAAACAGTCCCATTATACTATTTAGTTATTTTGAAACGTGCCATTATTATTGACTGTAGTCACCCTGTTGTGCCATCAAATACTAGGCCTTCTTCATTCTGTTGTTTTTTACTCATTAACCATCCCTATTTTTCCCAACCCCCCTCCCCACTCCCCTTCCCAGCCTCTGGTCACCATCCTTCTAGTCTCCATATCCGTGAGCTCCATTGTTTTGAGTTTTAGATCCCACAAGTAAGTGAGACCATGTGGTGTTTGTCTTTCTGTGCCAGTTTATTTCACTTTACATAATGTCCTCTAGTTCCATCCATGTTAATGCAAACAGCAGGATCTCATCCTTTTTGATGGCTGATTAGTGCTCCATTGTGTACATGTACCACATTTTCTTTATCTATTTGGCTGTTGACCAGGCTTTTGCTTTTTTAAATAAACACATGTACATGTTTTTATCATGTACATATGTTACTGCTTTTTGTGGGATTTTTTTGAGACAGAGTGTTGCTCTGTTGCTCAGACTGGAGTGCTATGGCACGATCTCTGCTCACTGCAACTTCTACCTCCTGGGTTGAAGCAATTTTCCTGCTTCAGCTTCCTGAATAGCTGGAATTACTGGCATGCACCATTACGCCTGGCTAATTTTTGTATTTTTGGTAGAGATGGGGTTTCACCATGTTGGCCATGCTGGTTTTGAACTCCTGATCTCAAGTGACCCACTTGCCTTGACTTTGCAAAACTGCTGGGATTACAGGAGTGAGCTACTCTACCTGGCTCCATTACTTGTTTAAGAGCAAAATGTTTTCAAATCTAATGAACCTTGAAAAGAAACCTGAAGAACTTTCTAGCTATTAACCACATATAAACAAAAGCAAAAACCATGTAATAAATACTTGATAGTCTAAATTAAAATTTAAAATCTCTATATGTTAAAACATATTAGTTGTGAGATAAGAATGCAGATGAGGAAAATTTCTCATTCCTTAGTTGTAACTCCAGAATGGGTGTGCTGTCGACAAAAAAAATCAGGGAAATATTTTAACATGTGTGACACTTGAATGTTAATATGTTTAATATATTAGAAGCCTTAACTAACCCAGAAGAAAAATATAAATGGTTGGTCATGCCAGGATATTTTTACTTGGGAATAGCTGAGATAACCCAGTGAAATCCTGTTCTGGGCAGCTGTTCTGTGCCAGGCACCGAGCCGGTCACTGGGAGGGACACGGACAGGAATAGGTCGCATTCACCGTCTTGGTCACAGAGTTCTTATTGTAGACAATAGACCTTACTCTACATGGTTTGAGCTGGAAAGAGATTTATTAGAGAATTCAAGCCTCTACTAAAGGCCAGAGGCACCGGCTTTGTTGGCACAAGGTCAGGTAGAGCACTGAATCCACACTGCTGCATGGCTCCAGCACGACCACCCTGCTACCAGTCGCCAGGCGCTGACACTGCACACGGAAGTCCAGAAACCCTTGCCCTGAGAGCCAGAACCCTCCAGCCCATCATTCCCAGGGAGATTCTGCGTGATTCCAGTGTCCTTGAACCCTCTCTGAAGAGGCCTTGCTGAGATGAGAGTGTTTGTGGAGCTGAGGTTTGTGCTTGTGCCCTGCAGGCAAGGAGGTGAGGGCAGCAAGTCGTAGCCACTCCCAGAGTAAGGCAGAACTTTCCACTTCACACTGAGGGAAGCTCTCCAAACTTGCAGTTTTAAAGAAACCAAGGGGCTACAGTGCATGAGGAATGCGCCCCAATTTCCGGGAACTTAGAGTCGATGCACATTTTAAACTCATGCAGGTGAAGGCAGAAGTGTGTATCATCCTTGGTGAGTGGGGAGGCAGCCAGACAGCACTACAGCTCTTCCAGGGAGCCGGAGAGTGACCCCAAGCTGTGTTACGGGTGGTGGGACTGATTTCAGGGAGGGTAGAGGATGGTGCTGGCAAGGGTCACTGTGGCCAGCCCAGAGCTTCAAGGACCCCCTGGTTAGGAGCGTGAACTCTCATCTGTGGGCAGAGGGAAGTCAGGGATAAATTTCTGGAACTGCAGCAAGCTGTGGCCGGGAGTGAGGGGACTTTGGGGATAAAATTGCATTATGAGCTCAGCTGCATCCCCCGAAAATGCATAGGTTTAAGCCCTAAGCCCCAATATCCTAGAATGTGACTAATGGAGACAGGGCCTTTAAAGAGGGGACTTAAGTAGAATGAGACAGTTGGAGTCGACGCTAACCCAATACAGCCGGTGTCCTTATTAGAAGAGGAAATTCAGACACACAGAGACACCAGGGGTGCGTGCCACGTAAGAGGCAGGAAGAGCCTGGCCTTCTGCAAACCAAGGAGAGAGGCCACAGAGGAAAACGAGCCTCCCCAACGGCCTGACCTCACATTTCTAGTCTCCAGAACTGTGAGCAAATACGTCTCTTTGGTCAAAGCCACCCAGTTGCGGTGTTCTGTTGTGGTGGCCAGAGCAAACGGATAGAGTAGTAAGTCCCTCCGGCACCCTCGGAGGTTCTGTTTGTTGCTGTTCCCCAAGGCCATCCTGGCCACAACGAGGGCAGGTGCCGTTGTTTGGGAGGAGACTGCCGTGGAATGAGGAGAAGGAAGGCTTGCTTGATGCAGCAGGGAGTGGACTGCAGATTCAAGGAGGGCTCTGCACAGGTCTGAGATTGAGCTTGTCAGGGAAACCTGAGCTGTATGTAGGTCTCGCTCTCCTGTGCCCTGCAGGATGGCTTGACCCCTTTCTGTTCTCATGCCAGACCCTAAGGGCAGTGTCAACTGGGCCACAGACGCAGGCCTGGTGTGCCTGGTGGGCTATTCTTATGCCTTCAGGAAGCCCACCTTCACCTCCTGGCTGTTGTGACTGGCATCCCTGTTTCTTTGTATGTGAAATTAAATAAGGACATGTCATACATCACATGCTAGCAATCCACCAGCACAGAGCGAAGGCTCAGTAAAGAGGCGTTCTCTCCTCCTCTGCTTTTTTAGGTCAGGAACAAATGCAGATCAGGGTGGGGACAAAGTAAACATATAACTCGGGTGGAGATCTGATTGATTAGTAACTCATAAATGATCTGAACCCATACTTTCCTGTTGATAGTCAACCTTCTGTAAACACACAATGCGTTCTCACCTTGTTATCATTCCCAGTGATGTCAAATGCCTGGTTGCCCTCTTCAGTATAAAAGTTTGATACAACTTTGCCCAGATGCACCTGCCTGTGAGGAGTCCTGCTCGTCACGATGGTAGGTAACTGGTTTTATATATAAAGGCCAGAAAAGCAAAAAAGAACATGTAGTCCTTATTTAATATGCTGTGATGTGTGCTTCTACTGCACAGCATTGAAAGGTAAATGTGGCCTAGTTAGGAATCTTTTGTTACTACCCGCAATTCAACATGCAGAGTATGAGAGTGGGAACTTGGGAAATTTTTAATGAATTTATCACTAATTCTGTTCTCTAAGATCTAAGTTGTTTTTCCTTTCAGTAATTCTGGGGTTCGATTATACTTCACAGATATCTCTAATTCTTGTTCTATGTGAGTAATTTGTGAAATTAAAAGTCATTTCAGAGCTACATGACTGCATCAAGATGAAGGAACTTAGACTGGGGAGGGTAAGAATATGCCACTGGGGTCTCACCGCAAGCCTGTGAATGAGCTGAGATAGGAACCCAGGCATCCCTCTCTCCCTGCCAGTAGCTCCCAAACTTGGCTGTGCAGTGGAACCCCCTGGGGAATTTTGAAGAGCACTGACACCAGGCTCCAACCCCAACACTCTGATTTAATTGGGCTGCAGTGGGAACAGGACATCAATTTTAAGAGCTACACAGGTGATTTTAATGCTCACTCAAGTTTGAAAATCATTTCCCTAGGCCCTTTTCACTGTCTCTTGTGTTAAGGAAGAATCTTTGTTTTTTTGGGTTTTATTTGTTTGTTTGTTTTTGAGACAGGATCTCACTGTCACCCAGGCTGGAGTGCAATGGTGCAGTCACGATTCACTGAAGGCTCAACCTTCCTGGGCTCAGGTGATCCTCCCACCTCAGCTTCCTGAGTAGCTGGGACCACCAACCCCGGCTGATATTTCTATTTTCTGTAGAGACAGGATTTTACTATGCTGCCCAGGTATGAACCACTGTGCCTGGTTTAGAAAGAACTTTGCTTCAAAATTTATGAAAACCTATGCAGGCTTTTCTTGTGTATTGAACTTGATCTTTCTTAAAACATTCTTTGCTAACACCAGGGAAAGAACTGGGCTGCTCTCAGGGCTGCAAGGGAGACAAGGAAAGAAGCAGCCAGCCAAGTGGGAGTAACCAGGCAGTGGGTCCTAAGAGCGGACCCTGGGCCTCCTCTGCATCTTGCAGCAAGACAACAGGCTCTCAGAAACTGTCCTGAGGCAGAACTGGGGAGGTGAGGAGGTTCTCCCTATCTCCACTCGACTGGCTCCTCCCACCATCCTCCATGCAGCTTCACAGGAACCTAGCAAGCTGCACAGCTGGCAATACCCCTGCCTGCTTATGACCCTGTGGATCCCCAAGTATATTTATTACTTTTAAAAACTTTTTTTTTTTTTTTTAGTAGAGATGAATTCTTGCCATGTTGCCTAGGTGGGTCTCTAACCACCTTGGCCTCCCAAAGTCCTTGGATTACAGGCATAAGCCATTATGCCTGGCCAGACCCCCAACTCTTCATCATGGGTTAAGACCCTTTCAGGAGCAGTAATTTACCTAAAGAGATGCAACTTCTAAGGGCACCGCCAGTCTGCTTCACCTCAAGGCTGACCATGAAGCTGCACCATCTAGAAAACCCTAGCCCATGCTGGCACGGTGGTGTACTCTCCTGTGTCTGCACACATCAGGGGCCCATGGTTACTAAATGCAGGAAAGGAAGACACGAAGGGAGGGAAGGCTGGTGGCAGAATAGAAGACAAGAATGAAAAGGAGCTTTAGAGCCTCTCTACTCAGGGGTGGGACTCAGACCAACAGCGTGGGCATCACCTGGGAGCTTCCATGTAAGTCTGAAGACCTACTGAAGCAGAATCTGCATGTTATTGAATAAGCTCTCTGGTTGGGTGCGGTGTCTCATGCCCATAATCCCAGCACTTTGGGAGGCTGAGGTGGGCAGATCACTTGAGGTCAGGAATTTGAGACCAGCCTGGCCAACATAATAAAACTCCATCTCTACTAAAAGTACAGAAATTAGGGAGGCATTGTGGTACACACTGGTAATCTCAGCTATTTGGGAGGGTGAGGCAGGGAAATCGCTTGAACCCGGGAGGCAGAGGTTACAGTGAGCTGAGATTGCGCCACTGCACTCCAGTCTGGGTGACAGAACAAGACTGCATCTCAAAATACAAACAAACAAAAACCTCCCAGGAATTTATATGCACATTAAAGCAGCACTGGGTCGAGCACTGTTCCTGGGTTCTCACCAAGGTAAAGATACGGAGGCACTGGCTGTTTCTTTCTTCAATGAGCCTGAGATTGTGTGTTTCCTATTTGCTCCCTGGGTAACTCTGATGCTTACCCAAGGGGGAGAACCCCTCTTTTTACGGGGGAGGAAAACTGAGCTTCAGAGAGAGAGAGAGACGGAAAAAGAGTCAGTATCAGGCTATTTCTGAGATACTGTCAAAAAAGTATCAGGCTATTTCTGAGATACTGTCAAATGGGAAATCTCTTAATGAAATCATTTTCTCTCTGCTGTCACCATGTTTGGACTCCATCTTCAGTTGTTCAATCTCGTGCCTTTGCTCTAGAGCTGCAGGAGATTTTGGGATTTTGCACATGTCACTGGTTCTGGCCTACCCCGCTTGTCCCTGTTGACTCTCCTGCTTTGTGACTCAGTGAAACAAGATCTCCAAGATTCTAGCGATCCTCCATCCCCCCGGAGCCCTCTTTATGTATGAAGGGAGGGAAAACAGTTTCTACAAGGCTGGGTTTTTGGGGAAAAATGTTTAGGTTTCCACAGTGACTTTGAGCTGAAGGTTACGCAAAAGAAGAATGAAACAGAATAAGTGCCACTCCAAGTCCTGGCTTGAACTGAACCTATATTGAGGTTTTGAGTTGTTTTTACAGAATTTCTTTCTTTCTTTCTGGCTATAAACTCCATATGTTTTATTGTAGAAAATTTAGAAAATAAGAGGAAAAGTCCAAAGAAGAAAATGGTCATAATCCTACCATTCAAAGATGACTTGTTATTTGGGAAAAACCTTCAGTGTGTTCTGAGCGTCTCTCTCCACATCATGATAATCACACATTTCATAGCCTGCTTCACTTCATGTAGTGACATGTGATCATTTGCTCAGGTGACTTCACCTTCTACCTTGCTGGCTCACCAGGTGTTTTTCTGAGTCACTGTTCTCCACCAGTTCTGTTCTTGTGCACGTGGTTTCTTTCCATTTTTCCACTGCAGTGAGCATCCTTGTGGAGGAGTCCATCTCTGTGCCATTTTTAGGGTCACATCTTGGACATGAAAAGGTGAAATCAAATGCTATAAACAGCTTTAGGAATTTGGAAATATAGTAGCATATTGTTCTCCATAACAGTTGTTCAAAGTCAGTCATTCTTGTGCATATCACCTCCCATAGATGCCTCTATTTTTCTCTGGGTGTTATAAATTCAAAATATTCTTGACATTTCATTATGTTTCTATTTTATCTACATATTTATATTTCTTTTGTTATCAGTAAATTGAAGTTTTTCATGTGTTTATTAATCGTGTGTCTGTGAGAGAGAGAGAGAGAGAGAGAGAGAGAGAGGAGAGAGAGAGAGAGAGAGAAATGCCACTTTATTTCTCTTGCCAGTTTTCTGTTTAAGATATTTTTCAGCTGTGTGCTGTAGTCACACCAGTAATCCCAGCACTTTGCGAGAAGTCAAGTGGATCACCTGAGGTGGGGAGCTCGACACCAGCCTGAACAGCACGGAGAAACCCTGTCTCTACTAGAAATACTAAATTAGTTAAGCATGGTGGTGCATGCCTGTAATCACAGCTACTCAGGAGGCTGAGGCAGGAGAACCATTTGAACCCAGGAAGCGGAGGTTGTGGTGACCCGAGATGATGCCATTGCACTCCAGACCGGGCAACAAGAGCGAAACTCTGTCTTAGGAAAAAAAAAAAAAAAAGCTGTTTTTTAGAGCCCGGCATGGTGGCTCACACCTGTAATCCCAGCACTTTGCGAAGCCAAGGTGGGAGGATCACGAGGTCAGGTTATTGAGACCATCCTGGCTAACACAGTGAAAACATGTCTGTTCTAAAAATACAAAAAATTAGCGGGGTATGGTGGCATACAGCTGTAGTCCCAGCTACTGAGGAGGCTGAGGCAGGAGAATCACTTGAACCTGGGAGGTGGAGGTTGCAGTGAGCTGAGATCGCACCACTGTACTCCAGCCTTGGTGACAGAGCAAGACTCAGTCTTAAAAAAATAAAAATAAAAATAAAAGGTGTTTTTCTTCTCCCATCAGTATATAATGATATTGTTCTGCAAATTTGATATCTTTCAATCCCAGCACTTTGGGAGGCCGAGGCGGGTGGATCGCGAGGTCAGGAGATCGAGATCATCCTGGTCAAAATGGTGAAACCCCATCTCTACTAAAGATACAAAAAATTAGCTGGGCATGGTGGCGCGTGCCTGTAATCCCAGCTACTCAGGAGTCTGAGGCAGGAGAATTGTCTGAACCCAGGAGGCGGAGGTTGCGGTGAGCCGAGATCGTGCCATTGCACTCCAGCCTGGGTAACAAGAGCGAAACTCCATCTCAAAAAAAAAAAAAAAAAAAAAAAATTGATATCTTTCTAATTTCAATTATGTTCTTATATTTATATTCTGAAATCTTTTTATTTTATGCTTAGAAGAAGTATTTATGTATCTATGGTGTGATTATTTTATGATCTTATTGTAAAAATTTAACCCTTGAATCCTTGTAGAGTTTATTTCAGTAATGGGGACTCAAGTAGGAAATTAACTTTGTTTCTTATTCGAATAGTTCATCACTTGTTCTAACACCATTTATTGAATAATTGCTCTCCACAGATCTCAAAGACCATGTTTATTTTATAATAGGCTTCTACATATATTTATACTTTCTGGTTTTCTTGTCTTCCTTTTTTACCTTATCCACCTACCTTTGGAACTTTCTGGGTTTTCTATTTTGATATCTGTGTTTGTCTTTTTTACTTTTAAAGACAGGATTTCAGTCTGTCACTCAGGCTGGAGTACAGTGGGGCTATCATGGCTTGATGCAGGCTCGAACGCCCTGGGCTCCAGCGATTCTCCCACCTCAGCCTCCCACATAGCTGAGATTACAGGGGCACACCACCATGCCCACCTAATTTTTGTATTTTTTTTTTCTGACACAGTGTTTTGCTCTTGTTGCCCAGGCTGGAGTGCAATGGCAAAATCTCCACTCACCACAATCTCTGCCTTCTGGGTTGAAGCGATTCTCCTGCCTCAGCCTCCCGAGTGGCTGGGATTAAAGGCATGTGCCACCATGCCTGGCTAATTTTGTTTTTAGTAGAGACAAGGTTTGTCCATGTTGGTCAGGCTGGTCTCAAACTCCCAATCTCAGGCCCCCCTCGGCCTCCCAAAGTGCTGGGATTACAGGTGTGAGCCACCACGCCATGCCTTAACTTTTGTATTTTTGGTAGCAATGAGGTTTCACCATGTTGCCCAGGCTGGTCTTGAACTCTTGAACTCAAGCGATCTGCCAGCCTTAGCCTCTCAAATTTCTGGAATTACAGGAGTGAGCCATTGTGCCCTCCCTATCTTTCTATTCTTTTTTTTTTTTTTTTTCTGAGATGGAGTTTCACTCTTATTGCCCAGGCTGGAGTCCAATGGGATGATCTCGGCTCACCACAACCTCCATCTCCCGGGTTCAAGTGATTCTCCTGCCTCAGTCTCCTGAGTAGCTGGGATTACAGGCATGCACCACCATGCCTCCCTAGTTTTGTATTTTTGGTAGAGACAGGGTTTTTCCACGTTGGTTAGGCTGATCTCAAACTCCAGACCTCAGGTAATCCACCCATCTCAGCCTCCCAAAGTGCTGGAATGACAGGCATGAGCCACCTCTCCCAGCCCCTATCTGTCTATTCTTATATGAGTCACATACTACTTCAACTAGTATCACTTCATAATTAATTTTAGGAATCTTACAGAAGAAATGCTTTCATTCCCATCGTCAAAAGATAAAAATACAACATATTTAGTTGAAAGATCTTAATTGACTTTTTTTTTTTTTTGAGACAGAGTCTGACTCTGTCACCCAAGCTGGAGTGTAGGGGCACAACCTTGGCTTACTGCAACCTCTGCCACCCAGGCTCAAGTGATTCTCCCACCTCAGCCTCCCTAGTAGCTGGGATTACAGGTGCGTGCCACCATGGCTGACTAATTTTTTGGTATTTTAGTAGAGAACAGGTTTCACCATGTTGCCCAGGGTGATTTCAAACTCCTGAGCTCAGGCGATCTACCTGCCTCCGCCTCCCAAAGTGCTAGGATTACAGGCATGCACCACCACACCCGACCCTTGATTGACTTTTACTTGTGAGTCTAGAATCTGGCAACACCTCATTCCATAAAAGAGATGAAGTGTTCTACAGAGCTGACCAGAGAGGTTTGCCTTTGTATATGGAAAAGAGCCAGAGAAATCAGAAATACAGAACAGAAATTGAATTGGTCTTTTCAAGGTGACTTTGCTTATAAAAGTTAAAGCAGAGGGGACTTTCTTATCATGTCAGCTAAAACTGGCCTGTTGGGCATTTGGCTATTACCTCTCAGTCTCTCCTGATTTCTTAGAAGGTTGGATAAGCAACTTAGTTCTGGCTTAGTAGCAGAGAACTTCAGCATGGGCAAATGTGTTTTGGTTTTGTCTATTCGGCCTAGTGCAGGAGCTCAGTCCAAACCAATGGCCTCCTATATATTTCATTGAACACCGTCTGCCCTTTCAAAAGTCCCCAGAAATTACCATATTAAGGTTTTTTAATTTAGCTCATTTCAGGAAGATGACAAGGTCAACTAGATACTTTTCCTTGTTCTACAATTTCAGCCTAGATTAACTGGTTTGTTCACGGAGCCATCAAAGATGCCTTTGTGATCTGGGAAATGAACTTCCTAGCCTCGCCCTCTGTGTTCACAGCATGGCCCCAACCTAGTTTTCCACTCATATCTCCAAATAATCCAGTTAACTACAATAAGCCTTCAACTATATGTTTGGTGCTTCTCTTCTCTGTCTTTGTTAATGTTTCATTCTTTCCATGAAACTCCTCATTCTGTCCTTTGAATCTTCCATATTCTGCAAAGAGGCTAAAGACTGCGTTATCTATAAAGGTCTCTTGAACTTCCTCTGCAGTGAAACAGCCCACATATCATTACTGCCCTATGCCTGCTGACTCCTGTTTGCCTCTTTCTGTAGTTCATGCTAATGACTTGTGTGGGTCTTGTTCCCTTGCTAAGTCACCGCGGTTAGGAGCTCCACCTCATAACCTCTACCAGAGCCCAGCAGAGGTCCTGGTACACAGCACTCAGTAAAGGATTATCCTCTGAATTAATTCATTCTTCACCCTGAGCTTTCTTCACATTACAGAACGTTCTCCTGGGCGGCCTTGTGATCTTCGCAACCTTTGTGACTTTATGCAATGCATCATGCTATTTAATACCCAATAAGATGGTTCCAGGAGACTCAAACAAGGGTAAGTCTTGGCATTTCAATGTTTATGATGTTATTGCAGCCTGGTAGATGGACCTGTCTGCAGATGGACCTGTCTGCATTTTTTGTGTGTTTTTGTTTGTTTGTTTGAGACAGTCTCGCCCTGTCTTCCAGGGTGGAGTGCAGTGGCAAGATCTCGGCTCACTGCACCCTCCTCCTCCTGGGTTCCAGCGATTCTCCCACCTCATCCTCTCAAGTAGCTGGGACTGCAGGTGCCCACAACCATGCCCAACTAATTTTTGTATTTTTGGCAAAGACAGGGCTTCACCATGTTGGCCAGGCTGGTTTCAAACTCCTGACCTTGGGTGATCTGCTCTCCTTGGTCTCTCAAATTTTTGGATTACAGGTGTGAGCCACTGTACCTGATCACACTTGGGGAGCCTTGTAAGAATACAGTGTCCTGAGCCCTGCACCCAGAGACAGATTCCATTGTTCTAGGGTAGGGCTGAGACATAGAAGGTGTTTTTCAAGTACCCAAGATGTTTCACCAATGCAAAGCAAAGGGAGGTGTAGAAGTGAGATATTTATTGAGAGATAATCCAGCAGGAAAAACCTTGGTCCCAAGTAGCCCTAGGCTCATATGGCTAACTCATTCAAGAAAAGGGCCTTATTTTTTTCTTGAAATACCTGTTCTGAAATAAAAATCAAAAGGATGTAAGCTTTCTGTTAGAAAATATTACCAGTAGCATGAACTGAACAGTACTGGAATTAGCCATGGGTGAATCCAAGAGCACCATTCTTCGATATCTTTAAAAGCAATGAGCTTCTCCCTCTCTGGGAGAGGTGTAGATAGCAGGGGCTGGACTCAGTGTCCTGATAGACCTTATTCTCATTGTATGACTTTCACTGATGATGTTTGTATTGTTTTAGAATGCACGGATCTCAAAGGAAACAAACACCCATTAAACTCAAGGTGGCAGACTGAGAACTGTGATGAATGTGATTGCCTCGAAAAAGAAATATCATGTTGCTCTCTGTAAGTCTCAAGCCAATGCTGGTAGGAGGGGAACATAGAACAGATTCTCCCTCTTGCAAAATTCCATCCTTCAGGCGTTCGGTTTTTGTTTTAGTTCTTTACAGATTTTAGAGAGTAGTTTTAGATTCACAGCAAAAGTGAGCAGAGGTACGGAAATTTGCTGTATGCCTCCCACCCTCACACATGCATGACCTCCCCCGATATCAACATCGCCCACCACCATCGGAATATTTGTTATGACTGATGAATCTACATTACACATCATCATCACCGGAGTCCACAGTTTATGTTAGGGCTCACTCTTGATGTTGTGGTAGTGGAGGGTTGGAGGGTTAGTTTTCAGTCCTAGTTCTTTCTTTTTAAAAAACTGTGGTAAAATATACATAAGATAAAATGTGCCATGTTAACAGTTTCAAATGTACACTTTAGCAGCATTAAGTACTTTCGCCTTGTTGTGGCATCACCACCATCCACCTCCAGAACTTGCTCACCCTGTGAAACTGAAGCTCTGTACCCATTAATCAGTCTCGCTTCATTCCCCTCCCAGCCCCTGGCAACCACCATTTTACTTTCTGTCTCTATGATTTTGACTACTCTACGTCCCTCATATAAGTGGAATCATACAGTAATTGCTTTTTTTGGGACTGGCTCATTCACTTAGCATAATGTCCTCACGGTTCATCTGTTTTGTAGAATGTGTCCAAATTTCCTTCCTGTTCAAGGCTGAATCATGTTCTGCTACATGGAGACACCACATTTGGCATCTCCATTCATCTGCTGATGAATACTTGGGTTGTTTTCCACCTCAGTCTCATTTCTGTTGTTTTTGAAATTTGATTAGTAGCTTTATTCCAGATGGGCTCCCGAATATAGGAGAGATTATCCAATGGTCTGACGCTATTCTAGAGATTGGTCTGGTAGCCTTGGCCTTGTAGATTTGCAAAAACAGCCGTGAAGGTACCCTTCAGCCTTGGCCTTGGAGATTTGCAAAAACAGCAGTGACTCTGAGCACAGGCGGTGGATTAGACGTGAGGGTAAGGGAGGATCTGTAGTGTGTCTTGCACTGTAAAACTTATGCTGCTTCACTGCTCAAGTTTACCTCACATCAGCTAAAAGGCTACACAGATGTTTTCTGCTGGGTTGCTATGGATTCTAGAAGTCTAGTACTTGAGCAGACAGAACACAGAGTACCCTTAGTGCGGTCCTAATTTACCTGTTTCCTCAGCAGCTATGTCCATACCAGCCAACTAACTCTCAACCCCTCAAGTCCATCTAACCTCTTCATGTAGCCTTGGCTTGTGGTGTTTTACAGGAACAGGAGTGGATCTGATGGCAGAAGCGCTGGTGTCAAGGGGCATTTCCCAAGCTTGTCTGATCACAGACTCACCTGGGAAGCTTGATGAAATACAGATTCCTGGGCTCCATCCCGGAAGTGACCAATCAGAATCTGTAGGGTAGGGGCCAAGGACTCTCAATTTTAACAGGTGGCTTAAGAGTCTTATGATGACACCGTGAGTAGAGAAGTGAGCCCTTGACTTAGATCAGAACACCTGAGTCCTACTGAACTTGAAGTGTCTGGAGAGTTCCAACCACATTTATTGAGCAGGCCCCATGCTAGGTGCCTAATGGAACAAGGGGAATATTGAACTAAGAGATGGCTGGCTGCTCAGAGGAGGCTCCCTGGCCTTGCATTGGCCGGGTCACTGGGTATTACAGCTGAGCCTTGATTTTGTGGCTCCAGAGATTTGACATTGTCTTTATAGCAAGTGTTGATGTCACTATGGTGGAGTGTGATTGTATCCCAGCCAGGAGGATTGGTGACTGGTCCCTCCCTAACATAGGAGCACAGCTCCCCGGTGGCTAAAGCATCCATGTCACCCAGATTTGGCATCCCTGACCTCTTCTAGGATTTTCCACTATAGGCTTGGATTCTTGTGGGCCTGGGGTGGAAAAGAGCCAGGCTGCTCCTTGCAGGGAAGAGGGAAGAACCTCGATATTAGAGTCAGAGTAACTTGAGTCTGAATCTCCATTCCCATGTATACTGGCTGTGTGACCCTGAGTAAGTTTCTGAATGTCTCTGAGCCTCTGTTTCCTCACAGTATAATCAGGGATAATCAGGTGGCTATGAGAATTAAATGAGATTCTGCACATACATTCTTTAACCCAACAAACACTTAATGCCTTCTCTGTGCCAATTCTGTGTCCTGCAAGCCTGGGGCAGTAACTGACACCTTTTCTTTCTCCCACCATGTTGCCTGTTCCATTTAGCACACTGCTCCACACAGGGGAAAACAAGGCAATTCCTTCTTCCCTGAAATTGCCTTACTTCTACCAAGTTTGTTTTCCTCATGAACTTTTTTCTCCTCTGTGGAAAAGTACAGACTTTGATTAAGCTTTTTCTGGAAGAAGTTTTTGGACCCACTGCACCCTCTATGGGACACTGCCCAGATTTCAAGGTGCTTGGTGGCAGTGGAGCTTGAGGCTGGGGGCCCAGGTGGAGGCTCCCCAGCAGGGCATGGGAGATGTTCTGGCCTCCTCGGATAGCTGAATACCTGATGTTGACAGTTTCTCCTGCCACTCTCTCTCTGCTGCTTCACCTACAGAGCTAAATCTAGTTTGAATTGAAATAAGCATCCGGTAATATGCCCTTTGCCTTCCCAACCTGTACTTGCACACAGGCAGCGGAGATTCATCTTTTCACTTCCTACCATGAACTAAAGGAATTGTATTTGTTTGGCCAGGCACGGTGGCTCACGCCTGTAATCCCAGCACTTTGGGAGGCTGAGGCAGGCAGATCACCAGTGGTCAGGAGTTTGAGACTTGCCAGACCAACATTGAGAAATCCCATCTCTACTGAAAATACAGAATTAGCTGGGCATAGTGGCACATGCCTGCAATCCCAGCTACTCAGGAGGTTGAGGCAGGAGAATCACTTGAACCCGGGAGGCAGAGGTTGTAGTGAGCCGAGATTGCACCATTGCACTCCAGCATGGGCAACAAGAGCGAACCTCTGTCTCAAAAAAACAAAAAAATACTGTCTCTCAAGAAATACCAACTTTATTTTTAAGTTTTTAAAATTGTGGTAAAATGTATATTACATAAAATGTGCCAATTTAACCATTTTAAAACATACAGTTCAGTGTGGCATTAAATACATTCACAGAATAGTGTTTATGCAATCATAAACACTATTTCCAAAACTTTTTAATGACTCTAACCTGAAGCTATATCCAGTAAACAATACCTCAGATTCCCCCTCCCACAAAACCCTGGTAATCTCAAATCTACTTTCTATCTCTATGAATTTGCCTAGTCTAGATACTTCATATAAATAGAATCACCCCGTGTTTGTCTTTTTGTGTCTGGCTTATTTCACTTAGCATGTTGTCAAGGTTCATTTATGTCGTAGCATGTATCAGTACTTCCTTCCTGTTTCTGCCGGATTAATATTCCATGGCGTGGCTAGACCACATTTTGCGTATCCATTTATTTGTTGATGAACACTTGAGTTGCTTCCACCTGTTGGCTAACGTAAGTAATGTTGTTCTGAACACTGTCAGTATACAAACATTGGCATATAATGTTTGGTTTCTGCTTTCAATTCTTTTGGGATATGCCTAGAAGTAGCTTGCTGGGTCACATGGTAATTTTTTGTTGAACTTATGGAGGAGCTGCCAAGCTGTTTTCCACAGCTGCACCATTTTACATTCCTACCAGCCAACAATCGCCTTTAAACATGCAAGGTTGTAAATGATATTTCTACCAATTTTCTAAGTAAAATATATGAATTATTGGAAAGTATAAGAGAAAAGCGAAGAAAAACCTACTTATAATCCTGACTGTTAAAGGTAATAACTATTATTTTCTCATATTTTCTTATTTATTTACTTATATTAAAGTATTGAGACAGGGTCTCACTATGTTGCCTGGGCTGGTCTAAAACTCCTGGGCTCAAGCCCAGGAGTCTTCTCACCTCAGCCTCCTGAGTAGCTGGGATTACATGTATGTGCCACCATGCCTGGGCGTCTATCATAATTTCTTTATGTCTCTTTCCTACATTTCTTTTCTTGCACATAGTGAATATTAAATTTTACATCACAATTTTGTTTGATTTTTTTCACATAATATTGTAGCATTGCGCTGGGCATGGTGGCTCATGCCTGTAATCCCAGCAATTTGGCAGATCAAAGGGGGTGGATCATTTGAGATCAGGAGTTCAGGACCAGGTTGGTCAACATGGTGAGACCCCACACCTACTAAAAATATAAAAATTAGCTGGGCATAGTGATGCACGCCTGCAATCCCAGCTATTGAGGAGGCTGAAGCAGAAGCATCACTTAAACCTGGGAAACAGAGGCTGCAGTGAGCTGAGATTGTACCACTGCAGTCTAGCCTGGGTGACAGAGTGGAACTGCATTTCAAAAAATTTAAAAAACAAACAAATAATTAAAAATAAATATTCCAGCATTAGTACCATCTCGTCTCATCAGAACTCTTAAAAATATTTGTTATGTACTGCAGCTCAATTAGAGGTGGTCTCTGATTTTTATCAGCTTCTCCCGGGGCTCCTGGACGCTGACCTGGAGTTACTCTTTGCTCTGTTTAGTTGAGAGAGCTCCTTTGCCAACAGGCCTCCGAGCCAGGGCTGGGACAACTGTTTCCTTTCCACATTCTAGCAACAATATGCTGGCCACTTCCTGAACAGGGAGGGTGGGAGGAGCCAGCCTGGAACAAGCTGCCTAGCTCCAGAGTAGCCAGACTTGCCCCTGCCTGTCAGCACCTACCGATGACCTGTGCCTGCAGGATGGTATGTAGGGGTGGGCTGTGTGACTCTATGGTACAGACTGGTCGATATTCTTGGAGGCCACACTCTGGGGCTGCCAGCCAAGGGGTGCCCTTAAGTTGGTGAAGGCACCCCAGCCAGCTGGAGCATGGGTGGCTTCCTGAACAGAGCTGGCACTGGGGAGGGGGTGCTGTGGGTCCTTTCTCTTCTAACAGGCTCTGGTTTTTTCTCAATGACAGTGTTGCTATACCTGTGGGTTACGACAAAGACAACTGCCAGAAAATCTTCAAGCAAGAGGACTGCAAGTATATTGTGGTGGAGAAGAAAGACCCAAATAAGACCTGTGATGTCAGTCAATGGATATAGTAATGTGCTTCTAGTAGGCACAGGGCTCCCAGGTCAGGCCTCATTCTTCTCTGGCCTCTAATAGTCTATGATGGTGTAGCCCTGCCTATCAGTAAAAGATTTTTGAGCAAGCACTTGAACATGTGTTTACTTTTAATTTATAACTTATGTATACATTGATTTAACACACATTATAAAGTATATAAAACATTTAAAAGGGAGACAAAAATACATACAAATGGCCGAGCACAGTGGCTCATGCCTATAATCCCAGCACTTTGGGAGGTTGAGGTGGGTGGACCACTTGAGGTCAGGAGTTTGAGACCAGCCTGGCCAATATGTTGAAACCCTGTTTTCACAAAAATTCAAAATTAGCCAGGCATGGTGGTAGGCACCTATAGTCTCAGCTACTCCTGAGGCTGAGGAAGGAGAATCACTTGAACCCGGGACGTGGAACTTGCACTGAGTTAAGATCACACCACTGGCCAGACGCTCTGGTCACACCTGTAATCCCAGCACTGTGGGAGGCCAAAGTAGGCAGATCACCTGAGGTTGGGAATTCGAGAGCAGCCTGAACAGCACGGAGAAACCCCGTCTCTACTAAAATATACAAAAATTAGGCCAGTGTGGTGGTGCATGCCTATGATCCCAGCTACTTGGGAGACTGAGGCAGGAGAATTGCTTGAACCCGGAAGGCGGAAGCTGTGGTGAGCCGAGATCACACCATTGCACTCCAGCTTGGGCAACAAGAGTGAAACTCTGTCTCAAAAAAAAAAAAAAAAAAAAAATCACACCACTGCACTCCAGCCTGGGTGACAGAGTAGTGAGACTCCATCTAAAAAAAAAAAAAAAAAAAAAAAAAAAAAAAAAAACCCAAACCCAAACAAAACAGACAAAATAAAAATGAATAAAAGTTCTATTTTTCCTAAACTCTGTAATAGGTCACTGTGCGTCCCTTACTGGGGGACCACTGCCACTCTTGCTGTTTGTGATGTCTGCACTCTGCTGCCTATGTCCTGCTGGCTGGTAAACAATAGAAAAAATGTGTGTCTTCAAGCTGAAATTAGATCCCTTCTTTTCTTTAAGGTGTTCCTGTTTATCCCTCCTTCTTCTTCATCAGGAAGTGTCTTCTATGATGTGTCCCCCACATTCCTCTGTGGTTGATTGAGGTGAAAGCAGGTTAGAACAAGACAGCCTGAACAAGTGCCCCCAAGCCACATGCAGCCCAAGGGGAATTCAAGGCCATGGGCTCTGCCTTCCTGATGCAGAGTGGCCTGGGAGCAAGGCCTCAGTATCAGTTATCTCTTGCTATACACAGAGCACCCAAAACTTAATGGCTTAAAACAATGACAACATCGATTCTCTTTTGACCGTTCCTGCGTTAGAGAACATTTGTTCACTCAACAGGTCTGTACTGAACACCTGGACCAGGAAGTGCTCTGGACCTGGGGATACAGCAGTGAACCAGAGAGATCTCAGGAGAGAACCCTGCTCTCCTAGGGCTTGGAGTCAGCTGTGTGTACGTGACAGATCAGAAATGGGCAAACAGTCATCTGTTGAACAATCAGTGGATAACTGATAAACAGCTTTATTTTCCTTTGTCCCCCTTCTGTTTAAACATGCTATGTGGGCCAGTTGAGCAATCTAGACAGGTTCCTTAGCTTTCCTGGTCACCTCCAGATAACTTAAAAAGATGGTCTGAGTTACACTTTGAGTTATATGAAGTCTCATTCCAGGGGTGTATCTGAATTGAGAGGGAATGGGGTACAGGAGAGTTAAGGGCTCCTCCTGCCTGAGGTCATGTTCTAAGCTGAGTTTCTTTGGGACTTCTGTGGGCCTCTCTCTCCACAGCTCCCCTTTCACTTACAGCCTATGATTGTTATCTTAGCTTCTGCATCAGAATCTTCTCTCCTGTTGTTTTGTAGTGAGGTTGCCTTGCCCCTTGTAGGAGTCACTATTGGGTGGGATCCATAAAACCCTGCTATGATCTTCTCCTTTGCTGGGGAATGTGGGGAAACAGTTGCCAACCGAGTATGGAGGCCCTCTGTCAAAACTGAGACAGAAAGAAGCGCTATTTTAACATCTGGTCACAAGTAAATAATGTGGGTTATAATCTGGGCTGTAAGCTGGCCGTGGTGGCTCAGGCTTGTAATTCCAGGTGAGGTGAGCCGATCGCTCGTGCTCAGTTTGAGAGTAGTCTTGGTATAACACAGAAAGACCCTGTCTCCATACAAAAAAAATTTTAAAACCAGGCACCATGGCGCATGTCTGTATGTAATCCCACCTACTCAGAAGGTTGAGGCGGGAGAATCACTTGAACCCAGCAGGAAGAGGTTGCCGCGAGCTGAAATTGCGCCACTGCACTCCAGCTTGGGCAACAGGGCCAGACCCTGTCTCAAAGAAAAAAGAATCTGGGCTCTGACATTTATTTATTTACTCAACCTGTTTTTTTTTTTTTTTTTGAGACGGAGTCTTGCTCTGTCGCCCATGCTGGAATGGAGTGCAGTGGTCTGGTCTCAACTCATTGCAAACTCTGCCTCCAGGTTCAAGGGATTCCCGTGCCACAGCCTCCTGAGTAGCTGGGACTACAGGCACGCGCCACCATGCTCAGCCAGTTTTTTGTATTTTTAGTAGAGTCGGGTTTCACCGTGTTAACCAGGATGGTTTAGATCTCCTGACCTCGTGATCCAGTCGCCTCGGCCTCTGAAAGTGCTGGGATTACAGGCGTGAGCCCCCTCAGCCGGTTTATTTACTCAATCTTTGGCAAAAAAAAATGTGGCAAAGGTGGAATTATACATCATATAGCCTTTTGTGTCTTATGATACTCATTTTTGCATCTGAACGTTGAACCTATATAATATCTAGTTTGTGAGGACATCTGAATCACTTGGGATGGTAATCGGCACCCAATTTGCCTTCAAAAAAAAAATGTTTGCTTCATTTAAGTTGATTTATTTACGAAGGGCGAAAGGACACTGTGCAAGGGCGGGGAGGGTATGTGCGCCTGCGCTCTGCGCCTTCTAGAGGGCAGTCAAGGGCTTCCGGCTGACCCGAGCGGAGATCTCGCGAGACTGTCAGACGTATGGAGAGAGGCCTGGGAGGAAGATTGTGTTCTCGCGAGAACTCTGCCTTTGGGCCCTAGGTTTGTGTGGGGCCGAGTCTCAGTCCATCCAAGGTCCTTTCGGATCTCCCGGAGAGGCATTCGGACCTGGTAAGAACACCATGGGTCGTGCGGAGGCGCGATGACCGCTGACCCGCTGGGCTCGGCTTTGTCCGTCCCTTCGCGACCCGACCGACACCCAGCCCGGCCTGCGTTTTCCTCTCTTTCCCTCCACACGCCGGGCCCGGGCACCTCCTCCTGTCTGCCTGCCGGGCCCGGGCCGGCCTTCTCCCCTTCCCTCCACACGCCGGGCCCGGGCCTATCCTTTCCTCCTGGATCCTCCTCACACCCGGCCCCGGACACCTCCTGCTCCTCGCCGGCCTTCCCCTGGCTTTGGGTGTGACAGTTCCAAGTTTACAATTTCTCTCGCCTCTTGCCTGGGCCTCGGGCGAGGCGCTGTCTGTTTTGCTGTACGGGTCCGGAACATAATCCATTTCTAGCTTGTTAGGTGGAAATGCAAAGAAGATACTTGGTTTTTTGGTCTTTTGTGTGCCAAACACATACCGTCTCATTTAATTCTCCCAATTGCGAAAAGTAGCTTGATTATGTCTGTTTTACAGATGAGAAGAGAGAGGCTTGCTCATTCATTGTTTCATTCCACTAACAATCATTTATTTATTTATTTGGTGCCAGGATGTTGAGGATAGCAATGAAAAAAATGGACACACTCCTTATTCTCATGGAACTAAATTCTTGTGGTGGGAACAACGATAATAGTAATCTCACCTGGCACGGGATTTAATGTGGAATGATGTAATCAAGAATGGCGGAAGTAGAATGACAAAAGTCAGAGTGCTAGTATTTATCTGACCCCAGAGGCAGAACTTTTTTCCCTCTTAACCACACCTTTTTGTGTCACTTTTTTTTCCCCGCCCCCCGAGACGGAGTTTCGCTTGTTACCCAGGCTGGAGTGCAATGGCGCCATCTCGGCTCACTCAACCTCCGCCTCCTGGGTTCAGGCAATTCCTCTGCCTCAGACTCCTGAGTAGCTGGGATTACAGGCATGCGCCACCATGCCCAGCTAATTTTTTGTATTTTTAGTAGAGACAGGGTTTCACCATGTTGACCAGGATGGTCTCGATCTCTTGACCTCGTGATCCACCTGCCTCGGCCTCCCAAAGTGCTGGGATTACAGGCTTGAGCTACCGCGCCCGGCCCTCTTTTTTTTTGAGATGGAGTTTTGCTCTTGTTGCCCAGGCTGGAGTGCAATAGCACAATCTTGGCTCATTACAACCTCCGCCTCCCAGGTTCAAGCGATTCTCCTGCCTCAGCCTCCTGAGTAGCTGGGATTACAGGCATGCACCACCATGCTTGGCTAATTTTGTATTTTTAGTAGAGACAGGGTTTCGCCATGTTGGACAGGCTGGTTTCGAACTCCTGACCTCTAGTGATCCACCCTCCTCGGCCTCCCAAAGTGCTGGAATTACAGGCATGAGCTGTGTCACTTTGTAATCAGAGTCGGGTTCACCATAGTAACTGCTTTTGGATAGACTTAGCTTTCCACCACGCACTTGGTAATTTCGAACTAAGTTTTAGAGACTCTCGAGTTACTTATTGGAATGAAGATGGCACAGGAAGTCATAGCCCATTTCTGTACCAAGATCCTACTGTGACATTTCCAAACTTTAAAGTGCGTGAGACCATTTGAGAAAGACTTACCCTAATGATGCAATGGAGGAAGATTCATTTGCTACCTTGTGGCTTAGGCAATTTAGTTGGTTTTCTCATTTGAAGATTTGCTAGCTTGCGGATTTGCTCAGATAAGTAAATGAGATAATATATGTAAAGTCTAGCACAATAACATTCCCTTCATATTCTCCTTTCCTCCGTTCCAGAGAGCCTTTGTCCTTGGGTCTCTAAAGAAAGTCCTACCCTTTGAAAGTTTTGTGATAATTTATATCTAATAAATCTCTACAGTTACATTATTACCTTTGTGCAAACAGGTATTTCAGAAATGGAAAACCACATTGAGCTATGGAA